TGATAACCGCTGGAAATCAAGTTCTTTTTCGACATGGCTTTGGATGTGGTGCATGCTATGAGGTGCGAGCGTACACACAAAAACAAGTATACATAAAGTTAGATATACAATATTTCTAAATTAACTCTCTAATTAACTCGAAATACACAACGTCTAATAAATTCTATATCAACTACTATTCAAATCAACGATTTCATGAAACAACAACAACAATAACAACCTAATATAATCTCACAGTTGGGGTAGTGTGCATGCAGATCTTACCCCTACCCTGGTGGTAGAAAGGCTCTTTCCGATATATAACGATCCTACGAAAAATGAGAGAAAATGAAATTGCAAAAAAAAAAAAAAAAAATGATTCTACTAGAAATTAGAGAATAAATGCACTATATAACATGTTTGTATGAATGGAATTATTTTAGGTCTTATGCAAACAGAGACCACATTGTTCAGGGAAGCCAATAAGAGTATCTCTCACAGATGAGTGTCCTGAAGGAGCATACAATAATGACTTAGTTCGCTTTGATTTAAGTGGAACAGCTTTTGGAGCCATGGCAAAACCTAGGCATGGTGAAAAATTGCGTAACCTTGGAAGAATCAATATTTTCTATAAAAGGTAAATAATCATAACATACTAAATAAATTAATATTTTTCGAGTTTAAATTTACATATNAGTATGTTGTATTTTTTGGCTCCGAAAAGTTATTTCATTACGGATCTCTTAGTCATTTGGGTGATGAAGAATCATTGAATTATGATCCGCTTCCTACTGATTTGAGATATTTCTGTAGAAGTTAAAGTTGTTTCTATATTTTAGAAATTTTATTTTGGTGCTTGACTATGGAAGATACATAAAGTTTCTTGAAAGATGTTTCAAAAGGTATGGGTACAGAAGTCAAGTTTTATTTCATTTGAAATGATTTTATGCCTTATTTGAGAAATACTATGAGTAAGTATTTTGTATGTGAATCTTCCACTGTATTAGAAGGATACAGTGATGATATTGAATCTTTGATTCAAATGAGAAAAAACTAGCTAGTTGTTGTGTGATCACCTTTTGGTGGTTGTTAAGCTATTGGAACTGTCTGGCAATGAGGTTGATTAAGCAACCTCTTGTTGAGTTAAACCGACAATAATTATGTCGATGAATTGTGATTGCCAAAGCGCAATATTCCACTAGGAATTAAACCGATAACATTTGTGTCGATGAATTGTGATTGCCAAGGCATAATAGCCATTGTAAGAAAAAAAATCTTTCAATAGGAAGAGTAGATACATTTTCTTGAGATATAATGTGATAAAGCAGCTGCTGAAAGATGGAATTATTTTCATAGATTATGTGAAGTCAGAAGTGAATTTGGCCAATCCTCTGACTAAACCTTTGGGAAGAAAATTAATATCTGAAACATCGAGGGGAATGGGACTTTTGCCAATTTGAGTTATATCAACTGTGATGGTAACCCAACCTATGTGATTGGAGATCCAATGAAGTAGGTTCATATGGGTAATAACAAGTTATTAGTTGATCAAATATGCACTATCAAATTAGATTATGTCTCTTCCTATGGTGTGTGCGTGTATATAGTGCAAAACTGCAAGGAATGTGAGGTTGAGTTATTAAACTCTTAATCCAATAATCCATAGCCTTTTATAGGTGGTGTATTGTACTGCAAAATACACTTGATGGATGGACCTATATGAGTGTGGAGTGGGGCCGCTCCTATGAAATTTGTGGCAAAATTTCTAGAGCACTCATGAAAACCAGGCGCGCACATGGCCTATTAGCGCAAAACCGCGATAAACAACAAAGTGTGTGGGGGTATAATGTGATAGATAAGACACTAAACTTACAAAAGAATTCTTGGTTCATAGAAGTTTTAAATTTCACCAATTGTTCTGTAAGTTTAATCTTATTTTATCTAGGTCTGGTTCATAGTCCAAGAGACACCAGATTCGATGCATTATGCTCATTTTGTGAAAACCCAGCGAAATCTTTTATTTTACTCTAATGCTTAATATATTTTTTTGAGTTATGTGGGGGATTGTTAGAAATATAATTTGCTAACTCAAAAAGAAATATTCAAAATCATATCTAGATTAATTCTTTTAATGTGGTCTTTATTACATTAAATAATTTGAATATATTTCTTTAATATTTGTAACTGATAACTATCAAGTTTGATTTCAGTTTCTACAAATTAAAACAGACTATTAAATAGCTATTATGGAATTCTTTATATTAGTTTTGAAAAAGTTCAAATTTTTATATAGCAATAATGACTATTATGCTGGCAGCCAAATTTTTAATATAGCCATAATGACTATTATGCTGGCAACGTATTTTTCATTATTTGGACNTATATATATATATATATATATATATATATATATATATATATATATATATATATATATATATATATATATATATATTGGATTACTTCTTTATATTTTTTATCCCCTCATCCACGAGCGAAAATTCTGACTCGCCACTGAATCGAAATTACGAGGTGTTATGCAGAAGCTAATCTTGGCCAATGACAAATAAGATAACAAAAGAAAATATACTAAACGAGGCAAAACAGTTTAATGTAATTTGGCCAATTGACCTACATATGAACTAATATAAAAGAAAGTACAAAAATATCAAAAAATTTACAGCAGGAGATCCATTTTTAAAGAGGTTTATGTTCTCCCTCTAAACCACACTTTTAAGGGCTACATTATGGATGTTGTAAAACAAGAAGAAATTATCTTCAATTTGTAGTAATCCAAATCTTTTCTCCTCCAAAAAAAAGTTAATTAGTCAAATATGCAAGACTTACCTTTTAGGAAAAATAAAAAACAAGGTAAATATTTATCAATCCTTCAAAACAAATTCAAATATGATAGAATTTTTTTAAGGACAAACACCTATCAAAACTAGAGTAATAACCGATTAATTAAATTGAGCAAACGCAAGATGATTGTATATTGGATCAGTATTTATTAACATCCATGTATCATTCTTTTTGATAATTTTTACTTGGGAATTTTTTTCAGGGTAGCATGCGATTACAAGACAAATATTATGTTTAAGGTTGACAAAGGATCCAACCCTTTTTTCTTTGCAGTTGCAATTGAAGCTGAAAATGGAGATGGTGCACTTTCTTTAGTTGAAATAAAAACAGCAAATTCAAATAAATGGATTCCAATGCAACAAATGTTTGGCGCAACTTGGTGTGTTCATATTAATCCAAACACACAAAAACCTCCATTTTCACTTAGGTTAACTTCAGAGTATAAGCATCAAATTAAAGCTAATAATGTCATTCCTGTAGGTTGGCAATCAAGAACAATTTACAAATCAAATGTCAATTTTCCTAATAAATTATAGTTTTTTAATATTAATCTGGTGGATTGGAGAGGAATTTGAGATTACAAAGTGGAATGTTGGATTGTAAGCCAATAATATGATATATTAAAGAAAATATATTCTTTAGATATCAAGTTCGAAATTCTAACATTACTAAAATAACAGGAATTAGCGACGGACAAGTTCTGTAGCTAAACAGAAAAATCATCGCTAATCCTATTTAGTGACAGATTAATGATAAATTATCACAAAATTGTGATAGCTACAACAATTTAGCAACAGACTAACTACGAAGTTCATAACTAACTCTAGTATTTTTATAGTGTCTGTTTTACCTTATTATAAATCTACTCTGAGGGCACATGGGAAAGTGTTGGGGTCGAAATAACATGGTGCATACGGAAGCTAATAATGCAAGGCTTGGTGGACGATAAATCAGACGACAAAAGAAAAACATACTAAACTAAGCATAAAGTTTATAATGGTTTGTCAATTGATCTATATATGATAAAACTAATATAAAAGAAGAAAAACTATCGAGAGAAAAATCTCCCCCTAAACAAAACTCTTTAATGATTACATTGTGGATTTTTTTTTTTTTGCTCTTATGAGAAGTAGAGATCCTTAATTTATAGATGTGCAAAACTTGTCTTCCAAGAAAAGGATAAGACATATTAAAGAGATTTAATCAGTTTAGGAGTCTTTTTTCATTCCTTCAAGAAACAGTCCTAATAGATTAGAAATTCAGGGCAAAATCCTAACAATCTCCCCTTGGCCTGAATTTTCTTGACAAAGTTGATTCACTTCACATAATCTTCATCACTGCTGCTTGCCATAATTAAAAATAGGTATAGGTTGAAAATCTTGGTATTGGTTAAAAGAAACCCAAGTATGGGTTAAAAGGAGCCCACGTGTTAAGAATAAACATGGGGTAAAAGAAGCTCATGCATTAAAAAGAAGCGTGAGTTAAAACTGGCATTGGAACTTATACGTTGCAAGTAGGCATGACTTAAAACTGGCATTGGTTAAAAGCGACCAAAATATGAATTAGAAAGAGTTTTTATTCCAATAAAGATGCAGCAACTGGCATTTTGAATACAATTGTGATTATAAATTTATCTCCACATGTAGCATGTTGAATAAATCTTCATTATCGCCTTGATCTAAACACGCATTGAATCTGTCTTCAACCTCGTTCAACCGTTGATTGTGAACCACTGGCTCTGATACCACTTGCTGGGGTCGAAATAACATGGTGCATGCGGAAGCTAACAATGCTTGGTGGACGATAAATCAGACGACAAAAGAAAAATATACTAAACTAAGCATAAAGTTTATAATGGTTTGTCAATTGATCTACATACGATAAAATTAATATAAAAGAAGAAAAACTATCTGAGAGCCCCCCCTAAACAAAACTCTTTAATGACTACATTGTAGATTTTTTTTTTTTTTTTGTGCTCTTGTGAGAAGTAGAGATCCTTAATTTATAGATGTACAAAACTTGTCTTCCAAGAAAAGCATAAGACATATTAAAGAGATTTAACTTTTAAGAGTCTTTTTCCATTCCTTCAAGAAAGAGTCCTAATAGATTAGAAATTCAGGGCAAAATCCTAATAAAAAGTTCATTAGTCCTCTCTATCATTATGTCTTGCACCAAAGCAAATTAAACTAAGGAATTATGAAAGTTGAGTAGCTAGTTGAGAGAAGTGTGCTGTTATATGCCATGAAAATTTAAATTTAATTTACATATAGACATGGTATTACTATAAATGCACAAAGATATCTACATCAAGGCATAATTTGCTTGATCTGGGAGAACCATTTACATACAGTCAGACCTCTCTATAACAGTCATTCACTATAAAAGTCAAGTTTTTTTAAAACCAATTTCCATGTTATAATATAATATTGATTTTATGTAACAGCACTTCGTTATAACAGCCAAAAAAATCTAGAACAAATGAAACTGTTATAGAGGTTTTACTGTATATTATATGGTCAATTTGCTTCTCTTTAAGGGGTTCACATTCTCATTTGTTCTTAACAATTTGTTGCTGCACCACCAATACTGAAACTGGTCTATTTATCTCTGCAGCAGCAAGCATATCACCAACTGGTCCAAGTTCTGGTAAATCATTCCATTCATTAAGTCCTAATAATTGTTGCAGATCGTCGCGATGGCGCCTTCCGACCATTATAAGATCAAAGGCTTCTTCCATAGCATGTATGATCAAAGCTGTTTCAGCTCCATCTTTAACTCTTTCCTCTCTATACACAATATTATCTTGGTGTTGACCTAGAAGTCTTACCTCCTTTAATAACTCAGCATCAAGTACAGCATCCCACTGGTTTTCACGTATGTCGATGTCCCATGACACGAATCTAACGACAGTCAAGTGAATTTCTGGCGATTTTGACATCCGTCTAGCATAAGCTAACGCCTCACGATCATCATTGCCTCCAATGAAAACCACAGCTACATGATACATCGTTGACTGACTTGATTGACTTGTTAGACGCTTGATTTTCTGACGGTCAATTAGTATACCTACAGAACAAGGAGCCATGTCCAATACATTATTGTTGATTGTCCTTATATTACTGCTGTCCAAGATAATCTTTCCCTGGTGATTCCATTTCCTGTGAAACGGTAGTATGATCATCGACGCTAACTTGTCGAATGCAAGCGAGCAAATGTCCTGATGCATGAACCTTGGTAGTGACATTGAGGTAAAGAAATGAGTACTAGCAGATCCAAGGTACTGCTGTTCAAATGATAGAAAAACTTCCACAATCTTTTGTGACCGAGAAATGCCAGAAACATTCTTTTGGCCAAGTTGGTGATCAATTAGAACCGGGGATGCCCGACCAGCAAGTTCGACAAGTTGTAGTGCATACACAGATAAAGGACTTTCTTTACATGGAAAAGAGGCATCTAAGACCTTACGGACAGCTACAGCATCATCAAATCGATGAGTACATAAAAGCAAGCGCAACTCAGAACTGCTTGAAGCATGTTGGATGTCTCTTTTCTGATAGCCGGCGTATATCCTTGTATGATCATACAGCGACCCAACACAGAAATGCGAGAGTGCAGCTATGAGTAATACCGATGCAGTTAGCATGGAAAAGGTTTCTCCATCAAATGTCTGTGTTTCAATACAAGGGGAAGAGAAAACAGAAGTAAAACTCTGGTTGAAAATGGTCATTAGCACATTTTAGGAATGACTAACTATGGTTTCCTTTTCATTAGGAGCATTTCCGTCACATTCCAACATTCACATGTTGACAATAAATAAATACACAGTGTCGACAACAATAATACAGAACCAACACCTCCCACAAAAGAAAAGGGACATCGCGTAATTCGAAGGTAATCAGCTATAAGTACGCCGTTGCTCATCAATGAATTTCAGAAGCTCCAAACTACTGGATTCAAACTAAATGGTTAAAACAACTTGCTTGTATGCTTGGCCAGAGGCAGAGCTAGGATTTTGAGTTTATGGAACCTGGATTCTAGAAGAAAATAGCTTACTGGGTTCTGAATAAATTATTTAGACATATTAAATGAATTTTTTAAATACAAATACAGGGTATGGACCAAAGTTACTGGGTTCTGCCAAACCCGTACACAGGGTTGTGGCTCTGCCCCTGTGCTTGACTTTATGCAAATAGTACGTAGATATTAAACTGGAACGTCTGTTCATGAAATGTTGTCCTAGGTTGACACAGAACACCATTTCATGGATTAAGATAGCTAAAATTGTACAACTGTGCCCACATAAAGAAACACTATTCAAGCTAATAACATTCCAGGAAAAAAGTTATACTTCACTGTTCAAAATCAATTTGGCTGTACTGCAGGTTCAGCAACACAACCTCAAAATGCAATTATGCATTGGCAAAAAAGGACAGCCCGGTGCACTAAGCTCCCGCTATGCGCGGGTCCGGAAAAGGGCCAGACCACAAGGGTTTACTGTACGTAGCCTTACCCTGCATTTCTGCAAGAGGCTGTTTCCACAGCTCGAACCCGTGACCTCCTGGTCACATGGCAGCAACTTTATCAGTTACGACAAGTCTCCCCTTCAACATTTATGCAACAGCAATATTAAGATATTGAAAGGATAAGTAAGTACCTGATTAATAATGTTGTTAAAGTAAAAAGACATCTGGATAACACCTTGTGTGCTCATGATAAAGGCAAGAGCAGCAGCATCTTTTGGCGGCACCTTGCACGCCAATGCCGGAAGGAAAACTGACGCGTACTTTACCGTAAGACAAAAGAACACCATAACCCATACCCAATACAGGAACGTGAGATCGTACAAATCAACCAGATTTACTTTCATACCACAATAAGTTACTAGAAGGGGTGCAAGCATACCAGATACTATGGTCTCCAACTTCTCGACTAATGTTGATCCGAGAGGTGGACCATCCGGTATAACAAGACCGAGAATAAAAGGACCATACTGGTAATTAAGCCCCGCGTTATCCGTAAGAATCACGGCTAACATGACTGTGACAGATGCACAAACAATGTAAACGGAATTTACCGGCCTGCCTTCTGGTGTCCTTTTGATGATCCAAAGTGAAAGCGGTCGAACAGTAAACACAATAAGAAAGATTATGCCAACAAGTAGAACAAAAGACTGGACAAAGATAACCATAGGAATCTCCGCCGACACTCCAATTCTAAGAGTAGAGAAGATAGTCAACCCCAGATTACTAAATAGGTCACTGATCAAAGTTGATGCAAGAGCAAGACGACCAAGCTCAGAATTCATGATTTTCAGGTCAACAAGGAGAGAAGCAACCACAGGAAATGCAATCAAACTCTGTATCAAGAAAATACTTTGAGTGGCTGGTTTTCGGTATCTATGCATGTTTTCATCTAGTGAAAAATATCCAAAATACAAGCTCGCGAAAGAGGCCACCGGTAGAATAACAGCAAGCAATCCTACTGTCCACGCTCTTGAACCACTTCTCAACACCATTTTTGGGTCCATCTTCACTCCACTTAAGAAGATAAAAAATATATACCCAATTTTTGACATTAAATCTATGAAAATTTCTCCTGGTTGTGGGAATAATGTCTCTGTAAAGTCTGGGATTTTTCCAAGCATTGTTGGACCAAGTATGATACCTGCCTGTAAGTGAATAACAATACCATCAAAACTGGAGTAAAAACCAAACATAAACGAAATACAGTTTTGTAGTTATAGAATCATCACTTTCCATCATTGAATAACATTGCAACATACTCACAATTCTAATATTACAAAAACATCAAATTTTCTTCATATTTTTATCCTGAATTATGTACTCAAACTTTCTATCCAAGTGCTTCGATTTTTTTTTCCTTTTATATATATGAATGAAAACCTTGAATGAGAAGAACATGTAACATTATCACAAAAAACTTTCCGTCTATCTAAATTTTGGTAAGCAGAGTTACCCACTAATTCCAATAGCGTAGTCAGGAATTTATACAAGAGGATTCAAAGAAAATTCTAGAATGTCTAATGTCACATTTGGGACTTAAACTTGTGACATAATGCAACTTTTGAATACCTTTACTACTACACTAGAATATTCCTTTATGTCAAGGGAATTCTACAGCTTATATATAGTTAAAAAATCATTTTTATCCTATTTATGCAATGTAATTTTTCGACGAAGGAAATCCAATGAAACCCCTTCCTTCACCTAGCTCCACTCCTAATTCTACCTCTACTGGTGGGAGGTTACAAGATAACTAGTGAAATAGTGAGGTGCTTGCATGCAAGCTGGTTCGAACATCACCGTTTTAAAAATAACATGTAACACCATCTTTAGTTTTTTTTTTCCCTTTTTCTAATATGAAATGAGAATAACATGCAACATTATAACAAAAAATCTCCACGTGATTTCTTTCACTCTTCAACAACAACAACAACAAGCCCAGTGAAATCCCACAAGTGGAGTGTGGGGAGGGTAAAGTGTACGCAAACCTTACCCCTACCTAATGACGTTAGAGATGCTGTTTCCGAAATACCCTCGACAATTTCTTTCACTCTTGTTTTGACATAAACGCAAGCTAGCCCAGACACCACTATTATAAAAACAACATGCAACATTATTATCAATAAAATGGTAGAATGATTAACAAGGAAATGGGAAAATACCAAAATCTCAGAGATAAGGCGGGGCAGACGGATACGTTTAAGGACCAAATGTAGAGATTGAGTAAGCAGAAAAATGATGGCTAATTGTAAAAGAAGTCTAGGCAAATTGAAAATAAGAAAATCATGAGAATCAGGTAAACCCCATAATCCAGGAGAATGAAGAGGTATTTCTGCATAACAATTTCCATCCCCAATTCCACCAGGAAATTCCCCTTTTGGGGTTGTCTGCCATGTTGCCATTGATGTTGTTGACCTTGGCTAGGCCTAATTACCCCCACATTGACAGAGAAATTCAAGAATTTGGTATTGTGAATAAAAAGGAGAGGTTTAAAGATTTGTATTATCATTTTGTTTGAAGCAACAATGGAGGGACTAAATTCCTACCTCCGTAAAATATTCATAGCCTCTGGTTGGAAATGTAATGCTGTGGGAAGTCTAAAATATAGAGAGGAGCAAATATTTTGGGTGTTGTGTTTTGGCAGGAAGGAAAATATTTTCTTACAAAATAAATAATTTTCTTATTTATTTTTCACGTGATTAGTTACAACAATAACAACGACGGCCTAGTAAATACCCATAAGTGGAGTTTGGATATAAGCATCCTTACCCCTACCCTATACGAACAAAGAGGTTGTTTCAAATAGTCCCTCAGCTAAAAAAATGACGAAAGACGTGTTTAGTTGGTAATCAATAAATATTATTTCAAAAATAGTTATATATAATCTAGATAAATACTATGAAGGTGGCCTGAGTGGGCCAGAGGAGGGGGCAATGGGGGGTTCGGGTCGGGGGCAGATCGAGGGTCGAGGTCAAGGATCGGGGGTTGTGGTGGGCCATGGTGGGCAGGTACACGGGCGGGGATGGGCGGGGTGGTTGGTTGGGGGACTGGCGGCCGAGGGCCGGAGTGGCAAGTGGGTGGATTAGGAGGGGGTGATTTGGATGGGGAGTGTTGAAAGAGAGTTTTAAAAATTAATTTAAGTATATAATTATCACAACAGAGCCTAGAAAAGTTCATTTATCTAATAGATGATGTGCGAAAATTATTATTTATGGATTTTGAATCATATATTCTTTTAGTTTGTTGAATATTTTTATTAATTATACCATGCATTAGAATTTCCTGGGAAAGCTAAACCTGCACGTTATAACATGGGCTAGCCATTTTTCGGATTGGTAATCGAAAAATAGCCGGCGTTTGAAGTCATTAAAAAATAGTCAATGTTTTGCTGAAACACGTAAAGTTACACCATAATATGCGGGATTATGGAGCTCCTGCGTATAAACTTCCAGCATATTATGTTGGAACTCCAGCACACGTAAAATTCCAACATAATATGCGGGATTATAAAGCTCATGCATATCAACTTCCAGCATATTATAATGGAACTCCAGCATATTATAAAATTTCACCACATTATGCTGGAAGCTCATATGTAAAAAATCCGAGCTCCAGCATAGGGGTGTGCATTCGAATCGGTTTATCGATAAATCGAATCGATTATTTGTTATCGAAATCGAAATCGAAAAAATCGAAACCTTATTGAAACGATAACGATAAGCATATGCACAAATCGATAATCGATAAGTAATTATCGATAAGGGTCAAAATCGAATCGATAAATCGAATGCACACCTGATCACGCCCAACTATGCCTTATAAAAAGGACTCTGCGGACGTTGCAAATATAACCCGAGTATTACGCCCAGGGTCGAATCCACAGAGAGTTAACCTATCAACTGCTATCTTCAGACCCACTAAGTCTTCAGAACCAGCTTCCCAAATATTTAAATCTCAGTTGAATGTTCTTTAACAACTAGCTTGCAAGTAACTAAATAGCTGTAAACTAAACTAATAAGGTTGTAAACAATTATGAGAAAAATGCTAAGGCAATGATTTCCCCTATTGATGGAATCTCTTCTGTTTATGCTCATACAAATTTACCCACACATCTCTATCAATCATGAACGCTAATCTTACCGTAAATCTCTCCCGAGTAATCACAGTAATTTACTATTGCACTCTCCCGAGATACACTAGCTTACTTTATTTAGCACAATTCAATTTAGATTGCACCCAAGGCTTCGTTATTCCTAATCCAGCCTTTAAACCCGCAATTATAGATTCCTCTAATAATCTAGGAGTGGTGTTGTTCAACAATACCCTAAATATGCACTCTTTTCCAAGTTATGCACACTAAATAGGCACAGCTAATTGAGGATCCTGTCAATTAACTACAACGAACACGAAGTTGAACAAATAAAGATTAAACTAGCAATTTGTATTCACATAAACAAGAAGTTCATCACCCAATAGGTTCCATCAACGCCTTAGACAAGGAATTTTAGCTACTCATAGATATGGGAGAATAAACTAAGCTTGAATTCATCATAAAATCAAAAGAAAAGAAGAAAGATGTTTAGAGTACTTTCTCCCAATTGTTTTCCTTGCTAAGAAACCTAAAAAATCAATACATGCCTCTCTTGGGCGAAGTCTAATGTTTTAAATAGGATTTAGGTCTAAAAATCCCGTAATTGACACTTTGGTCCCAGAAGTTTCTGCGCCTGCCGCGGTTCTGCCGCGGTCGCGGTAGAACTGCGGCCAAACACCCTCGCGGAATCTCTGAACTTCTGCAGCTGCTTCCCACCGTGGTTCTGCCGCGGTCGCGGTGAAACCGCGGTGGATCCAGTTCTCTGAATCTTCGGCCTGTTTTTGCACGGGTCACTTAGGAAATTTCACAGTTGGCCTCTTTTTCATCACTTTTGACTCCAAAACTGCTCCTTAGCCGTCTTTATACATATATCACCTACAAATCATGAAAAGCACTAATAAGAGCATTTTGTCATCACTTTTAGCATTAAAACTACACAAGAAGGTGATTATTTAAGGTGTGATTATAGTCAAATTCCCCTATTATCAACACCCCTAGACTGTAGACACTTGTTAAATGAGTAATTACCTATTTGTGTAGATTAATATAACATACAGAATGTATATATATTCCGCTACTATTTTGAAAGCGGCTATACAATATTATTTTCCCTAATCTATACCCTTTCCTTTACCCTAAGTCCCTTACCCAATTATTTCCTCTACCACATTTAAGGAATGATCATATTTAAAGATCAAGGGAATAAAGTTCAAATTAATGGAAAACAGAATTAGCCGTGATGATGTGTTTTGTGTTTTTTATACCGTTGGAGTGTTGGTGGCATACATTTGATCCCTTACTTTAGTTTTGTTGCATGTGCTTGTTGACACAATTTTTATATTATATATGGTGTTCGTCTTATTTTAGCTTCTTTTTGTCCATATTAGTTAGGCGCGTTTATAGCGATATACTTTCCGTGGAATCCCGCAAATTTTCTTATTGGTGTAATCGATAACCGAATCGATAAGCCCCCAAAATCGATAAATCGAAATCGAAAAAATCGAAACCTTATTGAAACGATAACGATAAGCATGTGTACAAATCGATAATCGATAAGTAATTATCGATAAGGGTCAAAATCGAATCGATAAATCGAATGCACACCCCTACTCCAGCATATTATACTGGAATAGTTCCGAAGTTTTAACTCTGTTTTTGTTCAGATTTTATCTTTACATGAAAAGTGGCTAAACTTTTATTACTTTTAAAACTGTGGCTATTTTTCAATTACCAGTTGTAAATCTGACTATTTTTTAATTTCACCCATTTTCATTGGTCCATGATAAGTTTATCTCAACATTATAATTCTACCTCCTATATTTGACAGATAATCCTAAGATTTTGATATAAATTTTATCCTGGTTTTAGTTAATATTCACAACCAAACACCATATAAATTTAGTCCCAAATTTTATTATATAGAAATAAACCCCTAATCTCGGGAACCAAACAACCTCTTACTTATTTTATTTTGTCTTTTCCAACTTAAAATATTTTACTCACTCATTTATGTATTTTTGGGGAGCATTGTCACATGAAAGGTACAAAAGTTTCCATTGCAGAAAAATATAGCTTCTGCTTTGCGTCTGAATCTGTTGAGCATATCGTTTAGCAAATGTCTACTTGTTTACCCTAAAAAAAGATAACAATTGAATTTATACGCGGTTTTAAGGATATGTGGACTAATCCAATACAAGTGATCTTTAACGTTAAATAAGTGAATTAAAGATAGAATAAATAATCAAACCAGTTGTGAAGTTAGGTCCGTGCTCGGATCTGAACTTAGGTATTGTTCTGCCCCCTATTTGAAGCCAAGTACTTATGGAGAACTATGAACCAAAATAAGAACTTTGAATAACTTTAGAAGCAGATAAAACAAGTGTACTTTAGTAGGAGAGTTTTACCCTAAGTACAATTCTAAGAAAGGTAAAAATCTTCTTTTTCGTTAATCACTGATTCGTTGTCAATATGGACTGAAATCCACGCCGTGATATCTGGTTGGGCGCGAATATCACGGCCCTTCGTTAGTCATGTACAACCGTTTGGTTATGCCTTCCGAGGTCTTGGAGCCCGAACCGGCTTCGGGGGGCATTGTCTCGATGGCCCCGGTGGTAAGCGCTTCGTTCGGGCATTAGTGCGAGAGGTTCTTAGTTTAGATCCCGATTCCATATAGTTATGTCCTTGCTTCATTTGCCCCACCAAGAAATCGGGGTGCTCACTAGCCCCGATTTTACTCGTATACACTACTGTTGTTGCAAGACTAGCTATAATAGTTTCACTCTAGAGAAATATTGGTCATATGTGGAATAATACCTACCCCCCCCCCCCCCCGGCTCATAGGTTTTTTTTTTTTTTTCTGCCATTGCTAGGCCCCTTCACTTAAGCTATTTCCAGCTGAGTCTCCAAAGTAATTTTACCTTTCTCGACATATCACCTTTTTCGAACATGCGTCTTTAGAAGCAGAGTTAAAATTTAAAGTTTAAGGTTTCTGAACTTGATGTCAAACTCACAGCATGGCTTAGTTATTAGGTTTGCAAATATATATTAATACAAATTTAATAAAATTTCTAATACAAATACAAGATCTAAACAAAAGCTATTGAGTTCGTCGGACATTATGTTCCCTTGTCTCCCCTTAGAGGAGAGGGATGGAACTACTAAGGAGTTTATGCGGAGCAGGTTAAAGCTCGGCAGAGGGATCGAGAATAGAATTTTTCCAAATTAGAAAATTTTATTTACTTATTCATTTATATATTTTTGTGGAATATTATCACATGAAGACACAGTAGTTTTCATCTCTTAATGCGAGTAAAAATGTGGTAATTCACTTGTCACTCACTGTTCATCTCATCTGAATATGTATGTAATATAAAAAAATCTGTGACCATGCGTAAACACATACAATGAATTTACTCCTTATATATAGACCACAGTTTTTTGTAATGTACGCATTTTCGTTAAACATAACATGATGTACAAAGGTTTACGTTTACTCTTCAACTTGTACATACATAGAAATAAGAAAAAAACTTAGTACTGTATAGAAGTTCTTAATACTCCAATCACAGTAACAACATTTTTATCTGAAAGTTGTTTGGCCTCTGAATTTGGCAGTCAAACTCAACCAACATAGACAAAACTATGTATTTTTTATGGGAAATTCAACAAAGAACTCTATGCAATCCATCAATACCGACTACCAGGCTAAAACCTTGTCGATAGTCGAACTCAATTTGATAGTCATACTCAACCAATACAATGAGATGTATAAGTAATATGATAAGAAACAATCAACCAGTAGAAATAAATTGGCATCATAAGCAATGCAATATACAACCAATCTCAGAGAAGATCAATTTAAGTAAGGTCATCTTCCTCTAGCTCCTTCGCCTTCAATGCTTCCTTCACTCTGAGAAGAAGTGTTGTCCTCAAAGCATCCTGTTAAGTGAAGAAAAATGATGATAGAGACGGCATAAGTATTGCGATGAACATTGAAAGAGAAAGCATAACAAAATGTGTTAAGGTTGATTGAACCAACCAAGTAAGAAATTCCCATTTTGCTTAAATAACTGAAATATGAGAACTACCAGTAGATAGTACACATTCTGAAATTTCCAGATAAGCAAAAGGATTCTTTTCTTTAATTTAGTAGCTTGGAACTGGAACTATCAAACAGAAGTGCTTAAATGCACTGCCAAAGGTGTGACCAGTTTTACTACATTTAACACTTACAGTCATTTACACATGTCCAGTTTTGCATTTAAGTTTCAGTGCCAATATATGTAGAGAATGACTGAAGGTTAACTGCAACATCGATTAATCCTGAAATGCATCTACTTCTCTGTCATTTACAGAACCTGCACCCCAATCTCATAATGGGGCACAAATGGTATTCATAACCTTATAACATGCTAGAGAAAAGGAAAACCTCCGAGTAACTTTTCTGCTATGTAGAGCAAGATTTGATGATGATGTTCAAGTATTATTAGGGAGTTAGTAGATAGGAATATATATCTCAAAAACCAGAAAGAAGTAACCCCACGATGTACAACTATCAGCAGTTGATAACATCTAAACACTTCTATTTCTTTTTGTAGGCAAAGAAGTGGAGACAACTAAAATATACCAGCTTTGTCATGCTATCATATTCCTTGATAGAACCAGTGAACTTAGCAACATCTTCCTCGTCAATAGCAGCTGCCAAATCCTGTAATTGCAAAAGAAATCTCCCTAATTAATTCTATACTATCAAATTCAGGACGTATAAAATGATTCTGAGTTCTGAAAGCAATAACTATGCTATCAAGTGAGAGAACACAGTTGCTTTGATGGTTCATCATCATAGTAGTAGCTATTTTGGTTACAAAGCATTGTGTCCATGTCCCTAAGAAATCATTTCTACAGTCAATTCAATTTCCTCTGAGTTTGATAGTTTTCTTTAATTTAATAATATTACATAGATGTTTGTCCTATTTGTCACAAAACCCCGTACACCAATATGTCGTTAATTTCTGCACTTTCATCCATCACATCGGTTTTCCCTTACAGAGATGACAAATGAATAAACGTGCAAATTTTATGCCTCTCGTAGAAGAGTAATGGAAGAGGACACATGTCAACCTGCGCATGAAACTCTGTTTTGTGTCCTGGTAATTCATTCCCAAACTACATTTCCCCTGTCTGCATTAAACACTGTTTTTAAGTTTCAGATTAATCACCTTAAAGCTAACAATTTATATTTTGGACAAATTCTTGGCAATTTACATACTTGATATGGAATATCTTACTATATCCACAGATAAAGTGCGCAAATTTGTTTAAAAGAGACGGTCAAGGGAGCAAGATAAAAGAACTCGCATGCTTGAGTTAATACAAACTAAGGCATACCACTAGCAACTTGCACTCGCGTGTCCCTGAAAATGTTGGATCCAGTTCCTGCAAGTCAGCATGCAATATTTACTTAAACATATCATGTCGAATTGAAATCTTAGAGGCTTGACAAGAAGAACACTGTACCTGATATCGCTCCAATGCATTGTTTATTGCAACAACATCACCTTTACAAAGTTGGCAAATACCAGCATTTAGAAGATGCCCTCTAACTCCATATTTCAACAAGTTGTTGGTGACAGAGTGCCGTGCTATCTCCTCAAAGATCTCAATTGCTCTTTGATATCTAGGTGACAAATGTTAAATGTTATGTTTTCTTCTACAATGCAAAACATTAGTTTATTAACATGTATAAGGCACTAAGCGCTTTTAACATGGTATTTAATACACATTTCTACTCTTAGTTTGGAAATGATTTCTTTTCCTAATTATTGGTTTTGACTCCTTTTATATCTTTTCCTTTTTTTCAATCCATATAGAAGATTTATTGCACCAGTACTCTAAGAGACTAGGATAGAATTCAATGTGATTCCACAGAGAAGAATGCAAGATATACAGGGAAGCTTAGCATCAAATCCAGATTACCCAGGAATTGTTCTGAGAGAAATTTCGTCTTGCAGCTTCTTAGTACCTTTTTAACCAGTTGTCTTTGTCTTTAACTGTGTCAATATTTCCATATGCAGCAATAAATTTGCAATTTCCAGACACAATTATTCTTTCTGTAGGAAAACTGTATTACTAATTCAGAAAAAGATTCTTACTTTTCTAGTTCAGCAGAGAATTGTGCAATTTTCTGCTTGCACTGATTTGCAGATGTTGTTACATCCTCACTTTGGAAAAGATCAGCAGCTTTCTCATAGTAAATGATAGCCTGCTCCAAATTTTGCTCTTGTTCATATAATTCAGCAATTTCCTGGACACAGCAGAATCATTATGTATATTTCAAATGCAATCAAGCTGCCAAAGATACACTCCAACTGTGCACGAAATCCACAATCATTTCAATGAAACCGGACAGCCATGTACTACATTAGACAATCATATCACTTCTTATAAAAGCAACCTGGTGCACTAAGCTCCCACTATGCTCGGGGTCCGGAGAAGGGCCGGACCACATTCTTGATAATATCAAAGTTTAGATTGCAACGTAAATTTAAGAGACTAACCATAACATATACCAAAACGGACCTCACTCTATAAAAGAATTTTGATCAAGCAAATAATGCTGTTATTGGAAACATCAAAGAGCACATCTGGATTCTCACAGATGATATATGTGTACCTTGTAATATCTTGCAGACATATTTAGCCTTCCAATGTCCAGAAACATGTTTACTGCCTGCTCTAGACATGATATTGCCTCTGCAAGAGATATATCATAAAGAGTTCTTTTGTTCAGCAAAAGTGAAACTTGACTTATGAAAAAAATGAATTAAATGTGATGAGTACATAGAACATGGCCCTGAAATGAATACTGGACATATGTCCATGGATGTCGGCACATATCAGTTTGGAGCACATAAGACATTGACATTCCACAACATAAAAGAATTGGATTGAAGAACATGAAGGCAACACACAACCTCTCGTATTTGTCTTCTTGTAGCAATGAGCAGCATTAGCATAAGCACCAGCAGCCTCATGTTTGCTATCCAACTGATAAGATATTAATAAAAAGTAGTTGAAGAATTTATTTTTTGTAGGAAAAATGAAAGGTAAAGGCATCAGATATAGAGAAGTCATTACAAGAGGATCGAAAACTTACCTTCAGATAACAATTCGCTACTTTGACATATACTGCTCCAGCTTGATCCCCTGAAAGACCAACATTCCAAAATTAATACGCAGTTTTTCATCATACCATATAGATGATCTACTTTACGAAACAGTAAGCCTTCTCTAACAGACCCTACAACAACAATAATAACTACTACTCCTATGGTTCAATCCCAAGTTGGGGCCGACAATATGAACCCTCTATATCCATTCTGCCTCACTTAGGCCCATTCAGTTCCACTATCGAAAAGACAAATTAGGAAAATTCTCTACAACTAAGGGTTATATAAAAACCTTAGACCTTGCTTACATTATCCTTTCTTCCATTTTCGGGTATCGCTTCAGTGACTTGCATAAAGCACATAGACAAATCAGGTAATAGTGTAAACATCAAACAACCTATGAATTATAACAAGTAATAGTTCACTCAGTCAATGGTAGTAGCATGTCGAAAATATGATAAACAACTGCCCAGTAAATTATTCTCCATAAATGAACCATGTGCCAGTCATCAGAAGATTGAGAAAGTAATACAACTGCCCTTCTCTTCACAAATACGAACATAAGCATTTTGAATCAAATAGAATTAAACAACAAACATTTTTTTAAGAATTAAAGTTATATACACTGACATTTTAATGAATTTTTTACACCACTATGTTATTTAACCTGTTATAGCAGATTGTACACAAATATACTTTACACCGCCGGTGTATAGAATTTAAACTCTTTCCAAAAAAGACAAAAAAATTTAAATGCCTATCAAACAACAAAGTATCCGATAATGGATAAAAATTACAATGAAAGCCTAAGAACAAAATCAGATTGGAAAGTACAAAGTTGTGCTGCCTTTAGTCATAATTTGAATACAAGTGACAAATAATTACTTTGACATAAAGATTATCCGCAAAAGAATAAAAATTCATTTATTAAAAAAAAACATCAGAATATCGTAGTCTTCAAAAATTCTAAAATAAGCATTCTTAATCAGCTCAAATTAGAAAATTTAAAAATAAAAAACTAACATATTTCGTCGGTAAAAAAAAAAAGCAAATGACACCAGCAATTGATCAAAAAAAAAATAATTCTAAAAAGCGAAAAATCAAAGTTAATCACTACAATACTGAAGTTGATGATCCAAAGGATAATTATTAGTAATAAAATTTACTAAAAAAACTAACATGATTTAGCGAGTTTGAAACAATTAGCAGCTTTATCGAACAAATCAGCAGCGTCATCGTGTTTGGAACCGAAAAGTCCCCAACCGCTTAGTTTTTTCTCTGCTTTTTTCTCGAATTCTTCTCCCCTAGCTATCTGATCCCCCATTTTCTTTTTCTTTTCTTTCTTTTGGTGTTTTTTTTTTTTAGCTTAGCAGAAAAGGATTTTGAAATGGAAAAAGAAGAGAGGAAGAAATAAGGAATGGTGAGGGAGTTGATTTTTCAAATGACGGGCCTTGACTTTTGTTAGGCCCGTATCCTTAGTTGGGCTTGGAACTAGAACGAGAGTCCAATGATTCGGGTCTCACGAATATTATTGCTCCATTTATTTCCTTTTATGTTCCAGAGTGACAGTATAAAATACGAAGCTAAAAAAAAACTTCCAAAATTATTTTTCAACATGATTTAAAAAGCTCTATTTTTTTTAATTTTTAACCAAATCTATGTCCAAGGTTAACTTATGATTTTAAATATTTCATGATATCATTGTGATTATAAAAGCATGTCACTAATAATAAAATAAAAGTTTATACAATTTAATTATCAGTATAAAAATATATTTTTATTAAAATACTAAAATGGGAAAAGGATGTTCTTAAGTGGCATGATGCTTTTGTTATGAAATGCATATTATATAGATGCACACTAATTAAATATAACTCCCACTACTCTTCTCCATTATATTGAATCCCCACTACTTCTTATCATTATAGTTGTAACTCTCACACCTCCGTAACCTCCTCATTATCTTCCCCATGATCTCAATGGTTAATATCACATAATCAATAGTTAATACCATGTTCATGACATCCATTTGTATTACCTCAATGTCATCTTATAAATAGAGGGTTTTGGCATCACATTTTACATTATTGAAAAACACTTGATAAAATAAAAAAGTTCTCTCTTCCTCTCTACATCTATTGTCTATTTTATTGTTTCATATTTTTTTGAGCTTAGTTTCTTAACACGTTATCAACACTAATTGATTATTTCATGATCTACGATTTCAAGATTATATGGTAGGTGCTCTTTAATTTCCATGGCTTTGGCCATACCATTTTGGCGGCAAGGTAACTTTGTTTTAATTTTTCTTCATAACGCTAAGAAGTTTATACAATCGTACTACTACACAAATATTTAATTTTATGTTTTTTTAACCCTAAAAAATTAGATCTAATATGAAGTTGTCCATACGTATGGTTTCTTTGACTTCATTCATCACAGTGATGTTTTTAGTGTTTTGCAGAAATATACGGCATCTTGAGATCAGAATGCTTAAGATGTGAATCTGTTTGATTGGGTAAGAAGTTTAAGAAAAAATGAAGACTTTTGGAATTTGTGGTCCTAAACAAGTCAAAAAGCCCCAGAGTATTTGTGTGGTTATAAAAGCTTCTCATTAAGGGTAGAATTGTAAGTTTAAGCTAAATTGTTTCCAATTTTAGAAAGGGGCCATTCTTTTTTAAACAGACCAAAAAAGAAATAGATTCACATAAACTGGAACGGAGGGAGTAGTACATAAAGCTGATGATTAAAAAAATGGCTTAGCGCCGAACTATAGCAATAATCACGAGGTGGTAATAAATTTTAAATGCTCCCAGTATACTTTAACATATTATGGCATTAACTGAGGATATGACGGTGGATTCAAGTCCCAACGCACCAAGAGAGTAAGACTTGGGTTCGAGTCCTGGTGCACCATGATGATAAGAGATGAGTTCAAGTCTGTGATGACCCGATAGGTCATCATAAGATTAAAAACCAAATTCTGTGTTTCGGGGCCTTTAAAACCTTATTTTATCCCTTCTCGATTTGCGTGCACAGTCCGGGCATATTTTCGAAAAGCTTTTGTGTTAAAAGTTGATAAAAATAAGAATTTTTGATCATTTGAGTTGACTTCGGTCAATATTTTTGGTAAACAAACCCGGATTTATATTTTAACAGTCCCGGTGGGTCCGTATCAAAATATGGGACATGGGCGTATGCCCAGAATCGGAATCGAAGGTCCCCAGCTCGAGTTATGAATTTTTGATGAAAATTGTAAGTGTGAAAATTTAATGGTTTTTAAGAAATTGTTAATGTTTGATCTTGTTGGTATCGGGTATGTATTTTAGTTTCGGAGCCCGGTACAGGTTCATTATAATATTTAAGACATGTCTGTGAAAATTGGTGAGAAACGGAGTTGGTTTGACGTGATTCGGGCGTCCGGTTGAGAAAATATAAATTTCAAAGTGTTCTTGAGAATTTCATTTGATTTGGTGCTAAATTCGTGGTTTTAAATGTTATTTTGGTGATTTGATCGCACCAGCAAGTTCGTATGATGTTTTTATACTTGTGTGCATGTTTGGTTTGGAGCCCCGAGGGCTCGGGTGAGTTTCGGATAGGCTACGGAGTGATTTGAACTTGGAAAAATTTGCTAGTGTAACTGAGGGTGTTGCATGCCTCTGATCTCGCAATTGCGAGATCAGGCATCGCAATTGCGACCTCTAAGGGGTTGGCATTTGCGATCTTTTCATTGCAAATGCGAAGAGAAGCTGGGCCATACAATCTTTGCAATTGCGAAGAATTCGTCACATTTGCGAAGTAAAACTGGGAGGGGCAGTGATCGCAAATGTGATAATTTTGTCGCATTTGCGGAGATTCAAGTTCGCAATTATGAACTTATCTTCACAATTGTGAAGGAAGCAGAGATGTGAAAGGCCTCGCATTTTCGATGGTCTCTTCGCAATTGCGAGCGCAAATGTGACATCTACAGTTGTGTAAAACCTAACTTAGACGGGATTTTTACTTATTTCTCAAAATTTTCAAAACAAGAAACCCTCTAGGTGATTTTTCAAAGACCATTTCTTCACCAAGTCATAGGTAAATGATTCTTAACTAGTTTCATTCAATCTTCCACTTTATTTTATAAGATTTCAACATAGGATCTAAGGTTTTCATGGTGGAATTGGGGATTTTTGGGTAGAAACTAGGGATTTTGAAATTTGGGGATTTAGACCTCAAATTGAGGTCGGATTCCAAAACCAATTGTATATCCATGCTCGGGGGTAAATGGGTAATCGGGTTTTGGTCCGAGTTTCGGGTTTAGACTAAGCGGGCCCGGGTGTTGACTTTTGTTGACTTTTTCAATAATGGCCTAAATTGAATTCTTATCGATTGTGGGTGATTCCTAAGGTTTATTTTGAAACGTTTGGTTGGTAATTTGCTAGATATTGTTAGTTCGGAGGCATGTTTGAAAGGCAAAGCTGTGATTGAGCTTTGAGTGGTCTTGGAGCGAGGTAAGTGTTGTGTCTAACCTTGACTTGAGGGAATTAGGAACCCTCGGACTTTGTGTTATGTAAATTCCATGTGAGCGGCATATATGCAAGGTGACGAGTTCTTATACGCCGCCGAATTATCTGTTTTCCCAGATTTATCGCTTTTCCTTAATTTTTTCCCTCCTATCTTAACTGTCACATGCTCTAAATGCTTTCCATGCTTAATTGCTACGTGTTAATCAATGTTTCTTCTGTTAACCACGTTAGCTCTTTTCATAGTTTCCCCTAATCCCTGCTATTCGCTTAATTTGACTTGTTTGTACCTTTTAACTGTAAATTGCTGGTTTGGTTTCGTTGTGTAGTATTATTCGTGTAGATTCTATATTGAACAAAGTTCCTTTCTTGGTTCAATTTGGTATTTATTTATCGTAAAGGCGTTGTGATTTAGCCTGTTGATTTGACTGTGTACATTGACTGTTTGGTACTGATATGGTGGGATCGGGCTGCACGCCGCAGCAGGTGTAATAAGGAATGATTGATATGGTGGAATAAGGGTAAATATGTATATACGGTGGGATCGGGTTGCACGCCGCAACAGGTGGAAAAAGATGGATCGATATAAAAATACGATATTGATATTGATATATGGTGGGATCGGGTTGCGCGCCGCAACAGATATATATTATTGACTGTTATTGATATTGTTCTGGTGGAATAAAGGAGGATTATGTATTGTATGGTGGGATCGGGTTGCGCGCCGCAACAACCTATATGTTTTATTTATTGAGCTACTTTGTTTTCCGGTATTTTTATTTGAGCTGGTAGAGATTGGTAATTTGGACGACACTGATTTATTTTCGAGGCTGTGGTTACCATTTCTTGTTGGCTGTTTAATTATGTACTATATTTCAATTATTCTGTCATTATTATAGACTGCGTACAGGTTTTAGCGTAGGTGACCTGCCTTAGCCTCGTTACTACTTCGTCGAGGTTAGGCTCGGCACTTACCAGCACATAGGGTCAGTTGTACTGATACTGCACTCTGCACACTGTACAGATTTTGGAGACGGTCTCGGCAGCGGCTACTAGAGAGTTCGGATTTGACATTCGTGGAGACTTAAGGTACGGTTGTTCAGCGCCCGCATCTCCTGGAGTCCCCATCCTCTATTTATTTAGCTGTGAACTTTCAATCGAACAACTTGTTATTTACTTCAGACCCTTATGTGTATTACTCTAGTAGTTCGTGCACTCGTGACACCAGGTTCATGGAAATTGTAATAGATATTTAGCTAGTTCAACTTCCGCATTGTTACTTTAAATTTATTTGGTTATCTCAGTTCTTCTTTAATATTTGTTTTAAACTGTTAAAAGGAGTAGATTGCTCTAACGTTGGCTTGCCTAGAAAGTGAAATGTTAGGCGCCATCACGGTCCCAATGGTGGGAATTCCGGGTCGTGACAAAGTCCCAACTCATTATGGCCTAACATGCCTTTATATGGGTAAGACATTGGGTTTGAGTTCCAATGCACCATATTGATGATATAATGATGACTAAAGAAAAATATGTACTATTCATGAAAAAATATGAAGCTTGTCCCACTTGATTTGTTCCATTCTTGAAGTGAATGTGATAGCGATGCATAATAACTCTAAATGAAGACAAGTGATTGACCAATGAACGTGGACGTGTCGAAGATCGAAACAATAATAATTATCATTATGGTAATTATAAAAAGGAGAACAATAAAAGTTCTCAAAATAATCCTTCAAAAGTGAAGAAAATATGTATCAATGTGGCCTGTTAATACGAGACGAGTTCACATGATTGTAGTTTATTACTTGAAAATGTGACTTGTAATAAGCATTTTAAATGCAGACTCATTCCTAAAAGTGAATGTGAAAATATATATGTGATACAAATTATGCGTAAGAATATGCTT